AAGTCTAATCTCCATGCATGATTAGATTCCTTTAATTTAATCATTAGCGGGTGTTTTCTCAGTAATGAAAGCAATAGAAGAAATATCCTTTATTCACGCCAGAAAGAGACAGTTTCAACAGAGGGAATCAACCTTTATCTCAGTCTTTGTAATCTCGCTGTGATCCCAATTGAGCATCGCGATTGTCTCCTTTTGTCACCTCAGACTGCCTCTCTGACAGTAAAGGATTTATGGTTATTTCCTCCGTGCAGCCTGTCCATCTGTGGCTTCTCTCTTCATGTGGCCTTGAGAATACGATTCAATTTATTAAGGCAAAGCAATGGACTCATTACTTTTAAAAAGGTGGCAAGAGAGGGAGTGAGAGAGCGGGAAAAGTGACACACTGAATTGGTTATTAATGGAAAGGCACAGCCATAGGGCAGTTGAAATTTAATGATATCCTACAAGAAAATATGAGCGTGTCACTCTCCAAAAAGTCATGCTAAATGTCAACATTTTAAGGTCCCGGCGCTAATTTTATGCCTGTGCACAGTAATGTTTTGGAGAGCATTTAGGAAACACGGCCCAGTGGCCAGCCTGATTATCCCGCTCACCTTCTCTCCTCTCTCCAAATGGGTTTGTGCAGCAAGCGATTTCATCTCTAAGTGAAGGGAACATTAGGGAGGGGAGAAAGAGAGAGCGATAGAGGAAAACACGCGGTTTGATTTTCATGCTGTGATAAGAGAGTGGGAGCCAAATGTTACCTGTTAATCCAGCCCAAACCGGCCGGGGCTCTTGACTTTGTCCCCCAGCAGGGATGGGGCAAACACTCATTTTCCTCTCTCCGTGATGAAAAGGAAATTAGCTTAAATGTGATGAGGGCACATTAGTGTGTGTAGTGAGTGTGTGTGTGTGTGTGTTTGAGGGCTTTTTGTTTGCATACATCTGCTTGCGTGTGTGTGTTTTTTTCTTTCTTCACAGTGTATACAGGACATCACACACACATATGCACAACATATGCATGTGATAGTCATTCTAAAGGAATTTGCCTTGTATGGATTCATCGCGCACACATTCTCACAGTATGTCCTGTAGGTACTTCAATCTAACCCTCGCCTAGTTGCATTATGTATTATTAAGTACACATTTTCTGTCAAGAGACTTGAGAATAAATTATTTGTAACCTTTGGAAACCTGCTTCTACATGTGTATAGAATTTTAAAAACAAGATACACAAAATAATATCAACATTTATTAAGAAGAAAACCATGACATACTCTTAAGAGCTCTTTAAATCTGTTTAGAGCTGAATGTTTTTTGCCTCAGACACCCTTCAGAGTGCACACATCATTTGGAAGATAAGCTGGGCTCATGTTTTTTTAAAGTGCTCAAAATGCATGCAACTACTTTTTTTGCCAAGCATCACTGCATTTGTACCAGAAGACAGATATTTCCCTTGACAAGATTTGTCCAAATCCGGCGCTTTAAGTGCAGGTGGAATAATGCTGTGTTAGCTGCTAATGGCTGTCCGAGAGGTCATAACTACTCCATTTGAAGGAGGCTGGTTTCTCCGCAGCCCTGGCAGGTCAAATCAAATGTAATTGTGCAGTGAAGAGCAGAGCAGTGCCTTGCTTTGTGTTGGCTGTGCTGACAACCTCCAGGTTTAGCATTCAGTTATCCTGCTGGGAGGAACACAGGTTTGCAAGGACAAAGGCTTCACCTGTCAATATATCACACTGACTGGCCAGCCATATGTACCTCTGCTCTCCCTCCTCTCTCTCCTATCTCTCTTCCTCTCTGTCAGTCTTTCATTCTCTGCACACCCATTCTATTCCAGCCTCCTCTTCCTCCACCTATCTATCCATCCATCCATCTTCTGTCTTCAACCATCTATCTCTCCTTCCTGGCATCCTTCTCGTCCTCCTTCGCTCTCTTTGTGTGTCTTTCTGTATCTTCCACTCCTCTCGCTCACACTGAGCTCCGTGCGAGGACTCAGCTGAAATGTCCTGAGGGACCCAGTTTCAAACACAGGAACCAGAAACATATGGCACATTTTCAACTCCCAAGGTCAATTACAGCTATTTATCCAGAGATTGCAGCTAAATTTCCCAAGGTTTCTTCTAGATTTACCACAGATTGCAATGTGTGTCTGTCACATTTTAAATCAGGCCAGTTTCCTCTGCTTCTCCCCGCTCCCCGTGACTCTCCGTCAAATATTTCAAAGGCTTTCAAGTGGGTTTTAGACATGTTTTATCTCTGGTTATCATGTGCCCCATCTTTTTTTTGCCTCAGCTTTGCTAGGTCCAAGTGCCGCCTGCAACACAAATCTAATAACATGTAAATTGGAGATAAGCCCAGATCCCTCCAAGTGATATTTTTTACATTCATAGTTTGTCAAGTCAATTCCTGGGCCCCTGTTTTAGCAGCACAACACATGAGGAGTGAGAAAATTAACTGGATAGGTGATTCATCATTGCTAGCACACTGTCAAGGACTCCCTCTGCAGCTATCGAGAGCAGGGTGGAGGAGGAGGATGGAGAGAGGAGGGGGGGGGGGGGGGGCGTTGTTTTAAATTATGGCATTTCATTCAGAATGCATTGTATTTACAGCGTCCCATTTTTATTTGTGGCTCCTATTATCCGCCGAAACAGTTGTGCATGAAATGTTATTTGTGACAGGGGTGACCTGCGAGTGTTTTTCCACACAGTATTTCATAGTCGGGGGCCTTAACTGTACCTTTAGCGTACGGTAAGCACAAGAGGCTGTCACAGCTGCTGTTGGCAGCCTTGCTAGTGGAGAAATATCACCTGGAAACAGAGTACTCCATTCCACCAGCCCCCCATCACTCCAACGCCTGTCGCTGTAATTAAGTTGAAGTCAATGATTGTGGAGCAATGGTGAGAAATAAACATGCAAACACATGCCAGCATTTGCAGCCAGGCACAGAGAAAAAGAGGGGAGGGGGGGGGGGGGGGGGGGGGGGGGGGGGGGGGGGGGGGGGAAATAACATTAGAAGCAAAGAAACCACAGATCTAAAATCGTGTTCCACTGGAATTTACATTTGAGTTTCATTAAGCCAGTTTTGATTATATTGATTAAATTAGTCACTTATTAGCCTCCCATTTCCTTATTTTATTTTTTTTAAACGCCTGTATTTATGCATAGCTCCTGGTGGAAATGTTATCTGACAAGGGGTGCTGTACTGTAGTTGGAGTCTGTCGAACAAAACACGCTGTTTGCTTTTCCCAGAGCATGACAGGTTGTTTCCCCTGCAACAAAGCCATCAAATATTCTGTGTGATCCAACATTGTGTTGGAGGGGAGGCCTGCTGAGTGGGAAGCCGGAGTTTGTTAAAGCAATGATTTATGATTAATGCCAACACTAAATAAGGGACAAAGTGCCTACAGTACAAATCAATTACAAAGCTACAACAGCAGACCTTTCCCCGAGGTCTACTAACGTCTCTAGTTGTTATGCTGATTTTATTGGAGGTGGGTGAAGCATGCATATAATACATGCAATGCATCTATATCAACCTGAGCTGGAGCCAACTGTAATGCTTTTGATCTTTGATTAGGTCTTTTATTGAGATAAAATGGGACTTTCATGTTGTGCCACTGTATAAGGAGAGTGCATTTTATATTTCCACCCACACGCCCACGTCAAAACGCAGACAGTACTGCACCAAACAAAACAAATTACCACAAGAGTGGCTTCTTAAAAGTAGGCAATTCATTATTTTTATGAAGTCAAATTATAAACAAATTTTAATCCATTAGGCAACCATCCATTCTAATTAATCAACAGGAGTGAACTCCATCTGAAAAAGGAGAAAGGTTGTTTACTCTCTCCACGGACCAGCGGTGCATATTTCACCATCTTTCCCCTCTCAGAGAAATAGAAAAAAAATCCTTCTTCAAATTACAAACCTAAACTGTGAATCCTAACACTCGACTTTTGGCGCGGAGATGTTTCCAGGGCATTTGCAGATGCTTGAAATAATCTCCAATGTTTTTGCTCAATCTGCTCTGAGGATGGGTGAAATAAATACTTTAAACTAATTAATGTAAGACCAGCTGTTCCAAGCACTTGGCTAGCGTTGGTGAATATTGATGGGAGGGAGAAGCAGGGCTGTTCAGCTCCACTCTCTGTTTGTACAAGATTCAGCCTGCCACATAAACAGATATGAATACTGGATGAGAGCAGAGAGGTGCTGTGCACAACACAGCCAGGGTTCCACATTACAAATAAAAGTTTTTTCCCCCTTTTCATTAAATTAACAATTAAACAGCTGATGGTGCAGACTTCCTGCGGAGACCTTTTTAGCCGGTACGTGCTTAATAGACTGGCTCTCTGCAAGATGGTAACACTTGGCTTGGTAAAAGCTCACTGGACAAAAACATGTGTCAGATCTGATGGGGAAACAAACGGCGGTGTCTTGACATACTGTTTTAGTTTGACCAGGCTGTATCTGTGTCTGCCTCCCGCCTTCTCTCCCTCCCCTCTCCTGCTCCTCTCCCCTCTCCTCTGAGGCCTGGTGGAGAGGCTGGACAGCAGATGGCAGGGCCCTACCCCTCTGCCGGTGATGAATGGAGGATGATGTCATCTTAGGTTTTGACAGGCACCCGTGCGTGCGTACACAAAGGAAGCCCGAGCCTCTGGGGTCGAACTGCGGGCCTGCTTCTGATTTTGGAGTCCACATGACATATCTTAAATGGGGGGGGAAGCTGGATTTATGTCCTGGTAGATATTGTTTAACCCCACGCGCGGGCCTTGTGAAGAAGCAATACAAAGGAATCTCCAAGGGGACTAGTCAGACCACTATATTACTGAGAGGAACGCTGGGATTGGCTGCAGCAGGTCCATATCCACCAGTCACTGCTCTGGTCAATTCAAGTCAGGGTCAATATGTGTCAGCATCGCCAAAAACGACTCACTTATTCTACCACCTAGTTCGTTTTCACTCATAAATGTTCTGTGAATTATGAATCTAGTTCCAATGTTATTGTTTTTCTTTGCAGAGGACAACCCAATGTGCACCCCGACAGCGAGAGAAAGCTACGAGAGGTTGTCATTTGCTGGACAGGCCCTTCCTCCGGGCTTCCCCTCACCCTTTCTCTTCCCAGACGGCTTGTCGTCAATAGAGACTCTCCTCACCAACATACAGGTATTTTCCAGTGATGGTTGTGATCTCATAACAATACAGCTTTAAAAGGTTTTGACACGACTTTCAGCAACTTCTGATGGTTTATACAGTGAATGATCTCGGCACTGTATTTAAAAAAGTATTTGGCAGAGGTACAGTACATGTTGTCAGGCTCAAGGAAAAGCCTGACAAAATTCCCAAACAATAATTGATTCAAGCTGCTATGAGTAAATTGTACATGTGATCGGGGCATTTTGGGATTCTGATGTCAGTTGTTTGCTATTGAACATGGACACAATCCCTGTAATATGTCTTTGTTGCAACTTCCCCTTGAGGGCGCCAAAGTGAAACATCATTTTAAAAAATCCCCTTAACGTAACTATCTGCGCAATTTTTCCAAACATCGTTGATTTTGGACCATGGAGTCTTAACTCGAGAACTAAGCAGCTGCAAACTCCATCCGCTACTGTAAAAAGAAACAGGGATTAAATTATTTCCAAAGCTCCTAAAAAATCTAGCGATACAATGCCGATCTATTATGTCGTGAAGGCTTCAGGACTAAATCAGTAAAAAAATACTTCCTTTATCTCCGAACATAAAACTAAGCAGGTGTTTTTAACAGCAATAGTTTTTCAACAATTCAAGGATTTCCATTCTAGAAGATGTTCGTAAAAGTCATTGCCAATTTAAAATGTTCAGTCAAAAAAGGTGGACGTCATCCACATCGTCCTTCCAGTAACATGAACATCAGGACTAGAAAAACACTGGACTGTAAATCTGCATACCTTAACAATACCCGTCTACTCAAGAGTGCTATTTAGGCTCCGGCTCCATCCCCCTCAGTCAGAAAGATGAATGTGTTGCCTTCTGTCTGAGTGTAATGATGTGTATACACTGCTGCCCTTCTCCTTGCACTCGTACCGCTGGCATCCGAGTCCTTCTTCTCCTTTGACTCTGTGTGGTAATTAGAAAGTCACAAGTAAAGCCGTCGCAGGCTCCCAACACTCCACTAAGTCATCTTTGATAATGATCCTCGCCTTGGATATTTATATACAAATCAACAAAATGAAGCCAAGCAGAAAATTAAGATAAAGCAACTTAGAGTAAATTGGGGTCAGAAGAATCAACAATTAGTAAGATATAGCCCAGTGCATTCGATATAATTGCATGTGGATGGGGAATATTTGTGAGGAAAATGGCCGTGCGGCTTTTTTCTCACCAGAACGCAGTCTCGCATCTTTCAATTTCGGAATATCAGGAGTATATTTGGAATGGCAGTAATGTAATTGATACATGATGGGATACTTGTCATTCATATTATTCATTCCTGGTGTGCTGTGTGAGGAGCTTGGAAATGTGCTACAGAGACTAATGTATATCAATACCAATCCAGTTACAATTGTCAGCTGTGTAGTAAATGGGAAGAGAAGGATAGTTTAGGAACATAAGGACGTACAGATCCAGTCTGTAGAGTAAAGATTCTGACCTTTCCCATAAACCTTTAACCCTATACTTAGCAGAGTGGAGCTCTGACCAATAGGTGAGCTCCATCTTAACCTCTAGTGTCTATCAAGCTTCTGTCTGGTTCAGTTCAGTTCACCTCTAAAATGTATTGTCTATCTACATATGTATCTAATATATCCTATTCCAATTACTTGTATAAAGACTCTCCTTGCACTATTTCTATTCTATTTGATTTGGATTACTTTTTTTATTATGTTGCACCGTTATAGGAGCCTGTGACCTAAGATTTTCATTGACATATCTACACTGTAGCAATGTACAAATGACAATAAAAGCCTTGCATCTTGTATTGCACAGCTCTGTCCAAAAAGGTGTCAGAAATTCCCAGTGCTCTCAAATGATCCAAAAAATAGTTATTACAAAACTTTGGGAGATCTAAGCTCATGTTCCTAGATCTTGTGGGAGTTGTGTTGCAGCTAAGAGGTACAAACATCTTCACTAGGACCATCAAAGGTGGTAATACGCCTGAAAGCCATCATGTAGCAGCAGTCAGTTTTAGTCCCTGAGTTCTGCCTCACCACTGAGGGCAGTGTGAGAAGACACACTTTCCATGGGGTTCGCTGTCACTTCCTCTTGAAGCTCTTAAATAGCCCACATCACTCTCTCTTTCCCTTGCCTATATCTGTGTGTACATACTGTGTATAAACATATGTGTGTGTGTGTGTGTGTGTGTGTGTGTGTGTGTGCAGGGCCTGCTCAAAGTGGCCATTGACAACGCGCGGGCTCAGGAGAAGCAGGTGCAGCTGGAGAAGACGGAGCTGAAGATGGAGCTGTTCAGAGAGAGAGAGCTCAGGGAGACTCTGGAGAAGCAGCTCGCCATGGAGCAGAAGAACAGAGGTACTGCCTGACGACTACACACACACACTCAGCCATGTGTGTGTGTGTGTGTGTGTGTGTGGGGGCATGCGTAAATGTGTGTGTTCTCCCAGCAGTTCACAGGCGTATGCTCATGTAGATGTGATAGCTCCTGAATGTACATCCCCGCTCCTGCATGTATGTTTTAATGTTTCTTATTGCAACAGTGACACGTTCGACTGCGTTTCTTTGGTTACACACACGCACGCAGACACGCTGTGATCTCCTTAGCGCCGCTTTCCCTGCTCTTAGTCAGTTGACATAATTGGTAATACACATTCATTTAGAGAAATTCACTCTCAGTCTCATGTTAAATGCATCAGCTTCTCATGCTAACTGTGTCGTTTAGGTTTAATGAGAGAAATTCATGAAAAATATCCCAATACATTTTTCAATTTGCTTTAATTCCCTCTAGCAGTTTGTTAAGTCGCAGTCGGTATTTTCTTTTATTAAGGAGGATCTTTATGTATTATCAAATATTTAGCTTTAATTGATTTCCCTTTTTTCTATTATAGTGTGCTAGATTTTTTTTAAATGTGATTATTATTTTTCCCTGCTAGAATACAATGGCTACAGTAATCAGATTTCTGTCCAAAAAAAGGAAAAAGGCTACGCTCATTTGCCCTACAGCTCATTTATTGTCACTGTGGACTTTCTCCTTCGCAGCAATCATTCAGAAGCGTCTGAAGAAGGAGAAGAAGGCCAAGAGGAAACTCCAAGAAGCTCTGGAGTATGAGTCCAAGAGGAGAGAGCAGGTGGAGCAGAGCATGAAGCAGCCATCGCCCTCCGACAGCATGCGCTCCCTCAACGGTCAGAACTTCCACAGTGAGACACAATCCTAAACATTTCACTTTGACACACTCAACAGGGTTGTAAATGGGCCAAAAATAAGAGGAAAAATGACAATCTGTCAGTTCAAAATGTGATTTTTCAGGACATGAAAGTCACCTGAAGCAAATATTGTGACGTCTTAGATGACTTTATTATACTTGATTATAGAAATACTAATAAACCAACTCGCATGCTGACTGTTATCTTATCATGAGCCTTAAATGAAAAGCTGTTGTGAGTGCTGTATCTTATCTCAAGTGCACATTTTCATCAGGAAGATCCAGATAGCGGAAAATAGTGCGTGAAATTGGTCTTAAATTAAATTCCGAGCGGCTTTATAAAAAGTCTTAACTCTAACTTGCCTTGAGCTGTAAGAACCCTGTGTTCATCCCTGCTTTCCATTCTCATAACGCTTCGTTATATAAATAGTGTGTCTTGATTATTCCGTTGTGAAATGTCTAACTATAAAGAAGCTGATTATAGTTCTTTAAAAGCCCACGGTGACATCTTCAAATGCCTTGTTTTTACTTCTTAATGTCCACATCCCAAAACCTAAGAATGCTATAAAAAAAAGTGTAAAAATAAGTGGAACGAATGCTCAAAAAATAATTTAAACAATCAATCATCCACAAACTTGCAGATTAATAATTGTCGAATCCTGTAATGCATACTTGACAGTTTAATTATTAATACAGATATAAAGTTACTGACCAAATATCCAAGCATTAAAGTTAAGAAGAGTATTTTTCATTATTTTGATCTGACAGGAGTTACTACTCAGTTGCAAAGTGAGGCATTACAAAACACGATGAGCTCATCACACATGATTTATTGTCAGAGTTTAAACTACCCAGTGCGTCAGAAAAAATAGTTTAAATGCGACAAAGAGTAATGGGATCATTTGTATACAAAGTTTTTCATTTATATCGGTCAAATCATTTTTAGTGATTGTCTAAGTTAAGAGCGTTTGTGGCCAGCAGCAGTTCACAATACAATGTTAAAAGAGCAGTTACAAAAGTGCTAGTACAATTGAACCTTTGACATATTGATGGACTTAACAATCACTTGAATGCAGGGTTAGATTTGAATATTCCAAAGTGTTAAATGAAAGATTTGAGCTCCTTTTCCTCCACTAGTGTTAAGTGTAGTTCCTCCCATGCACACATGGAGGTAGATGCGATGGAGAGATATAGCTTGAAGGCTGGGTCTCTTGTTTTGAATGAGCGATGCTGTGAAGCTGGCGTTGTGATGGCTTGATGTCACGGATGTTTAACGGCGGCGATCCCTCTCTCCTCGCAGACTCTCTGACCCCTGAGATGGAGAGTGACCGCAGCAGTGGAAGAACAGATGCTGAAAGGACAATACAAGGTACAGGGGCTCAGATGAGACAATAAATCTCTCTCTCTTCCTCTGGCTCTCACTCTTGCTCTCTTTTTCTCCCCCCCCCACCCCTCGCTTCCTCTCTCGCTCCCCCTCACACACACACCGCTTCACTTTATGAACATTAGTGTTTCTGTGCCTGCTGTTCAGGCATACAGCTCGCCATCTGGGCCACAGCACTAGGTCAAGATCATTGGTTTTTCCTGTTGAAATAATATTGTTTTTTACTTGACTTTTAGTGGCTTTGGTGAAGCTTTCTCAGATCTTTGTCGGAACCCCCGTACAACGCAGTAGATAAAATAGTCTCAGCTAGAATGTCGCAGAGAAAGACAGAAGTGTTTTGTTTACAGCTCAGGAAGCATTAATGAGTCATAAAACCACAAAAAGCAGTGCAATCCCCCCTTTGATGGTAATAAACGGGGCAAATCAATCCATTTTATGAATAAGCCTTGTACATTTTTAATGGTTTGTTTGTTTGTTAGCCTTGGGGGTGCAGTATGTGTTTGGGGAAGGGCGCGCTCGTGATAACCTCTGTAGACTGTCTGCTATCTGTGTTTACCCAGATACAAGACACCTTGCAGAGGTTGAATATCCTCATTATTACTCGGACGTCCCCCTTTAATACGCCTCGGCTGCGTGTGCTCACAACCGCCCTTATCAGTGGGAGGGGTCCCAATGTATCTGGGAAAATGCTCCGTGTCATTTTGGTTGTGAAAAGTGGGAAATATTCCTCTTTGTATGCGAGAATAAGTTGGGTCCCTTTAACTCTCTAATGTTTGATTGGTCTACTTGAACTGATATTTTGTGAAAGGGCAAAAAGAACGAGAGAAACGATGACTCCTCCGTAATTAAATGTCATTCAGTCACTGCGGGGATCTGAGGCAGTTTGATGTCCCAAAAAAAGGAAATCCATATGTCATCATTTAAATACAAAGATGACTTGCAGATACAGCGTAATTATAGCCCCCTATTTCATGCCAAATTAGTACATTTAGCCACTTTAATTTCCTTACACTTCTATGAAGAGCTGGCCCTTTTGTGGGGCTATTGTATCAAATGAAACGTGTTGAATCTTCACATTATAGCGACAGCGGCCATTGTTCTGCTTAAATGTACAGCCACAGATCTTTTTCTTTGCTTTTTAGAAAAAAATCGAAACCCTATTAGGAACAGCACAAAGCAGCCATATCATTTCTGCGGTCTCAATCACTCTGATCATCGCCTTGAAGAGTGGGATGAAGGAGGGAGCTGAATAACAGGCAGCATTTTGTGTTTTTGTTCAATTAGAGAAGCATTTGTCTGCCACCCATGTCTCCCCTGCTCTACTCCGCAAGCCTCGCTGTATAATTAACCTCAAATGGCAAAAAATGATGTTGATAAATTACACAAGCAGAAGGGAAAAAACAAGCCTATCACTCGCATGAAAGCCGAGAGAAATGTGTGGGTATATTCTCAACTCCAAACTCAGGGAGGCTGAAAGGAGAGAGAGAGGGAAGAAACAAATAATAATGAGGGCATAATTTTAGAGAACTAATTATTTCTATTTGTCTTTTGTCACACTTCTCTAATTCTGCGATATTAACACAGTCTGTGTTTATTAATTGCTTTTACAATGTTTTGAATCGCGTCCAAGAGGGAACGTGGCTCTTTTCACAGGCAGAGAGCTACTGGGACTGCACCTCGCCAGTACTGCCTGGCAACGGTGCGCATGTGAATATCTTCCCCCAGTATCTCTCCTGGTTCCCTGCCGCCTGCCACTCGGTGTGTTCGGCGAGTTTACACGACCCTGTGCACAGAGATAAAGTTCTTTGTTGCAAGATTAAACATCAAAACAGTTAAAGTGAAATTAAAATTAAATGAATGAATGTCACTGAAGCAAAAAAGACTGTAATTAATGGATCCCTTAATTGTCTTCATAAAATATTTGCATGGGCATAATTTGCATAATTTACATGTATTAATTAATCTTTCAAAGGAATTTTATGCTGAGAGAAGCCAAAAATTCCCTTTGTTTTATTTAGCATCTAATGAAATATTTATTCTCTTTAATGAACTTTTCATCTTGATTTGAATATAAAAATACTAAAGTTTTAACATATTTTAATGAGGCGGTCCTTCATAAAACAATGTGTCCGGACGTCACCGATTCTTCTAGTCATGTGTGTAAAGCAGATGTTTCAACATTTGCACGAATATTGCGCGCCGATTTGAAAAAAGGGAATTGAAGCAGTGAGATTAGCTTATCAGACCTCCTCACTCATTCCCTGTCTTTCATTATAATTTCATCTATTAGAAGCAAAATGCTGCAATATTAAAGCTGCTCTCGACAACGTGTTAAATGTCGTCATCCGTCTTATAATCTTCCTTTTCATTAACACCCTTTACAAACTGCTCCAACTGTGAAGCCGGGCCGGCAGGTAGACAGACTGCGAGGTGAGCCTGTGATGTTTCAGCTGCTCTTTTTATTAAGGTGTGTGTACGCGTGTGTGTCAAGTTGTGTATCCCGGCGCACACTCTTAGCACTCTCCGGCCCCCACCCCCCCACCGACCCCCTCCCCGGCTGTCTGTTTTTCCATCGCGCTGCATTCATGCTGTAATGACTTTTACACAGAACTCTGTGGTTGTTGCTTGAATAGAGGCAGCCATAGTGCAATGCCTCCGAGACCTACGGCAGTGCTGGGTAATTAGCCTGTGTGTTTGTACACCCCCCCCCCCTTCCCCCCAACACACATACTGTACGCACACACACACACACACACACACACACACACACACACACACACACACACACACACACACACACACACAAGCCTTTGTTGTCTCCTCTGCATGCACGGCGATATATAAAACAGGCTAATAGGGGGAACAGGACCAATTGATAAAATATTGATAATGTAATGAGTACAGATTTTAAATTAAGCACAATTTGTTAGTGGTTAAATAATGATAAAAATGCTTTTTAATTATAGAAAATAATGTGCTTTACATGTGACTCCCAGCGTTAGTAGAAGCCCTTCCAGACATTGTAACCAGGTGTATTCTCATGTCTCTGTAGAACAGGAGTCAAGCGTTTCCTCGAATGTCCCGCGCTGCTTGTGTCATGTCCAACAACTGGCGCTGCTAAATGTCTTTGTGTGCGTTTCTCTTGAACATTGAATTATTTAGGGCGCGCTGCCATAGAGAGGTGTGCTTCTTAAAGGCATTACTGTAGCATTCTCCGGCAGAGGAAATGTGAAGGTAATAAACGTCAAACATGCTCCTGAGCTGTGCCTAACAGATGCTTTTACCAGCTCAGCGTCGGAGCAGCACTGCTCGCTCAGGCGAACACTCAGACAAGAGTGTTCGCTGGAAATGGACAAAGCTCGTTAGGTTGGAGGTGTCTGGAGATAACGCAGCAGAGGAATGTCTGCCGTTTTCAATAAACACTATTTCCATGCAGGAAATGTCACTTAGAGAGCGCTTTACATCATGAGTGCAGTATTATGTTCAAACAAGCACATCAGTAGAGATGTCTTCAACACAATCCCGATGCGAGGAAAGTGGTGATGATATCTGCTTTTACAGAAGGGGCTGTGTTTGTAGTGAAATATTCATGTAACTGTGTAATTATATTGATGTACTGTGTATGATCCTTAATTCAAAAGTAAAAAATGTGATATTGTTAGTCCCATTTTCTTTCTACCTGACACCATTATAATTTCTTGTTTTTATTTGCAGTGAAGTAATGGACTCTGCATGATATTTAATCATATTAGTCATGGTTGCTAACTTAATCTTATCCGTAAATCGGTTTCTGAATCCATAGTAACACCGCTGAAAGTGAAAGACTAGAGGGCAGCATTTTGAAGTTTCATCAACAATCACTTCCTGAATTGTGCATGTGCGTCAGCAGGAAGTTAGCTGTTGGCTAATCCTTGGCTCCTGTGTGTCCTCTGTTGCAGATGGAAGACTGTTCCTGAAAACCACAGTGATGTACTGATACGGCCGTGAAGAGCTGGAGGAGAAATACACACACAAAAAATCTGAAAAAACACGGAAAAAAAGAAAACCCATGAAGATTCTCAAGAGCCCTTATCCAGGCTGATTTAGTAGAGGGAAGGAGTCAAGCTGCTTGTAGAAGTTGAATGGAAATGCTGTGTTCACCCAAATGCTGAAGGAGGTTGTGTCTGAATGTAGAATAAGAATTTCTCACAGAGGCCAACATTAAGTAGTTTGATAGAAGAGGTGTTGACATAGCGGTTGGCCTACGTGAAGGATAAACGCATATATCGAGCACAGTAAAAACGTACCCATGGTACACTGTTGGTAATAACTCGTAAATTCACAGCACTGAAGATTTTTATACTGTATCTCAGCCAGCGAGAAAGCTTCAAAAAAGAGATTGGACTGAAGTTTTGTTTTTGTATTTCAAATTGAATTTTTCTGAGAAGCTAAAAATGACACGTGGAGATGGAAAAAAAAAAATGTGAATCTATCCATGTGATCATCAAAAGAGAAGATTGATTTCCATGTTTTCTAAATTAGATGACAATACAATCAAGTTTCCTTTTTACCATTGTTGTATATACAAGATCTGATGATAATGATAGGAGAACTCACTCTATCGAACCCCAGCGGATTGATAAGGTATGTGTATATAACGTTAAGAGGTATTGTGTATGCTGTAGAGCTAGTAGGCAAACAATACCACCATTTATATAAACCTACAGTTTGTTTTGTTCTATTTCTGAGCCATCATTCTTTCCTATAGCTGCCATTTTGGTGAGAAAGCATGCAGGCATGTAAATGTTTGTCCTGGAATTATGATATTTAATAAATCCTATATTGTGCTGAACAAATCTTAGGGTTGACTCACTCCAGCCCAGATGATTTTGAAAAACATAACTATCAGACATTTCACTTTCAAAATGAAGACTTTTGCTGTCAATAGTACTGTAATCTTTGTAACAGAGGTAATATTTCTTGGAATTTACTGTACATTTTTTGTCATGAGACACACTCAAAAACAACGCCTCTCGATGCTTTTCTAAAAAAAAATATCAAGACGAATAATCGCGTGTCAGCTTGAGAAACAATCAGTCATGACAGAACTCTACGGACTGAATGTCATTTAATAACATTGCTCAAATCGCTGTTGAACGTACACACTTTTCCTTTCCTTTCTAGAGTGTTTCATGATATCCTGATGAGAAGAAAAAAAACATAAGTTATAATTTTCCTGTTACTTTCCCTGAACACTTTTGAATTGTTGGTGCTGAAACACCTGTGTATATTCTCTAGACATAATAAGCTGATGTCAGTCCTTTAACTGCAGAACAGTTTAGACCTTATGTGTTACAATCAGGAGCGGAGGAGTGTCCCATGTTCACGATGTGTTTGTTCTTTTTGTTCTCAATGGAGTGTCTAGGTCTGTTGTCACTGATAACTTATATAGCTTCTCAAATCATCTCTTCATTGTACTTCAAATTCAAATAAAGTTAACATGTTGATGATAAACCACATGTGAGTTAATGTTGCCTGAACACACCTCTGTCGCACTTCTGCTCACAAGGCTGAGGGGTTTTGAGAGACACACACTGAACATTTGAAATTCCAGATACAGCTTTTAATACATTTCAATATTCTGAAATGTAAGCAGGTGTTGTGAGCAGCTCTTTTTTCATTTTGAAATATTGTGTTTTTGGCATATTTAGCCCTAACTCATTCCATGTATTATGTATAGCCTAAAAAACATTGCAGGTAAACTGTAGAAAACAAATGAACATATTGTTCTTCACTTTTAAAAAAAAATGTTTATGGGTATCAAAGGATTGGAATATCTTGTGTAACCTTTCCTTTTCCCTGAGTGTGGCTGCGTGTGTGTGTAACCTTTGACTTGCATGTGTGAGTGTGTTTTCAAGAAAAAAAAACTGCGTAGGCTAATCCTATATAAATTATGTAAATGAGGGTGTGACCGAGCTCACTGTAAATAAATTATTTCATGTGTACTTTGAAGTGTATGACACTAATTCACAATATATCACCATAAAATAAACAGCAGTCCTTTAAGCAGTTGTACATGCTGTAAGGTCATGCATCATATTATTCTCTTTAAATAACGCTGAAGCTTCCAGGGAGTTGTTAAGACATTTCCAAGCTGTTCTGTTAACGCTGAATACGTCAAATGGTTCTGTTTTGAAAATGTGACATTGTCAGTTTTTGTGGCACTTCCGACATTTCTCCTTGTGTGTTTTTAATTATAATCTGAGCTGACTGGTCTTGAGTGACATTATTTGTTTTGCTCTCGAGACACAACGGTTATCCACAGGGATCATTTCAGAACAGCTGTAACAGGGACGGCTCTTAAAACGCATAAGAAAACACCAAATCGACATTGAGAGACAAATTTCTCTAGTAAGCAATTCTGAGTGAAATGTGTTGACACAGCAGGCTTGGCCCATTCCCATTCTGCATGCTTTTTAAGGCATGGCCGTAACACAGCCACAGAGATGAATAATTGACTGATTGCTGCATAATTCAATGCTGCATTGTAAAAACTCAAGGCCTGATATATTTCAAGCTTTTCCTCTTTTTATTAAAAATGAGGTTAAAGTTTCAATCAACCTTGAAAGAACAATATGACACACAATGGGCAATCAATCATGAACCCATGCTTCTCGTTGAGTTCAGACGCACGCGGACTGTCGCAGCTTCTCAGGAAACTTAAGCTCACTACGTCCACTTCATCCGTTTAATTACTCAATCGTTCCCTCTTTTTGCTGCAGTGAGAGATTCGCTCCTCGCCTCCAATGAGCCTGGGAGACGTGGGCAGCTATTACTCAGATATTCTGTTTATTTCTCTATTTGATGCTTTTTCCCCCCCATGCACCGGCATCTGAGAGAGGAGGCCCTGCAGCTACATGTTTCATATCACTGCACATTTTGTAATAAATTCAATTCGGTACAAATATGACCATGAGGCACGAAGACTTTAAATACCAAATGTGCATTATAGCTGTGTTGTTACATTTTCCTTCAGTGTAGTGTGGAAAACACAGTGCTGATTGTACATTCAAAGCCGTGTGAGCCGTGTGCTTTATTTCCTCGGCTTGACGCGGAGATGTGCTCATGAAGACATCATCCAGACGTGATTATTCCGCATGATCCTTCCTCTTATTTCACTGTTGGTGTGCCTAACATCACATTGCACATTGTTGATTTGTGTTTGCTTGACCAGCTGAGGAAACATCCTGCCACTGCCGACAGATTTATTTTTTTACAGGATAAAAAAAGTTACCCAGGAGAGATGAAGTTATATTCGTACTTCAGCACCGTGTCAACTGCATTTTTAACCCCCCCCCCCCCCCTGTTGTAATTCTTTGCTCATCTTCACAACCAGGAGATGGCCATTTAGTGAAAGCAGTGATATTTCATGTCTCTTGATAACTGAGTGGTGCCCCGAGCCTGAGGAGAGACATTAGGAAGGTGCAGGCTGATCGTCTGAAAGATAGGACTAATGTCACCTAATCAGATAGACCATTATGTATTAGTGAAACTACAAAACAGTTTTATCTGACAAGGGCCAGGCCACATTACCTAAATTAACATTTTGCAAGCGTGAACATGGAAGACCACAGAGGCGAGGGGAGGGCTAGGACTGCGGCCTGCGCTTAGACATTCGGCAGTAATTATTAATTTATGATTGTCTCTGGTCTTAATGAAAATGAAAGCCAGGAAAGAGAACAGGGAGGGATAATGTGGCGTGAAATTGAGTTTCATTTGTACAGGGTCCACCTTTTAACTCTGCGCTTCTTAGGCGGAAATGGAGCCGAGCGCTTCCCTCGCTCTCTAGAGAATGTATTTCAGTTTTCTTTTTCCTTTTTTTTATCATGCTGTCTCTCCTTTCAGTCTTTCAGTCAAAGCGTGTTCATATCCTCTCATCCTTTTGTGATGTGTGGGGCCAACACGCCCTTTAACATCTCCATTACTCTCATAAGGCCTTTTCAAAATGACACACGGCTCTTTGATGTCTGATAACTATGTCAACAAGTTTCTTGAATGGAAATGTCTCCGCACATTGCTTCTTTAATGTCAACAAGGCTAGCGCAGAAAGGTCTCGGACCAGGTTGCTATGAGAGGGGCCCCAAAGAGAGCTACAGTAATTTACACAAGAGTGTGTGAAGAATGAGGCCCTGTTGAAATATAATGGATGCTGGCTTGTGAATCGCTATTTTAAGGCTTACACTTGTGATATAGGCCTACTGAAGTGATGATGTTAGCTGCGAGAATGATGGAGGATAAAATGGGTTTATCCACAAACATACACAGAAATGATGGTTATAAGGTCATGTTTATGTTATTTTGTAATTATTTAGGCAAACTGAACAATTATCCCAAATGTTTTTTACTCTGGTCGCTGTTTAACAGGCAAGTAGCTTTTTATTGCACCTATTTTTGGTTAGTGGGTAGCCGAGGAAGAGCTTGTCAAGTCCACGTTGTCCAACTTGTAATATAACACATCAGACAGACTTGAAGCAACATTAGCATTGTTGCTTCTGGCTATCTAAGAAAATGTCCACTGATATTTTCTTTTGGAGCCGTACTTCATCCAATTTATAATTGTACTTCCACTCAGTTAAATCCTTTTTGTTAATGTTTTTTCAACTAAGGATTTTGTTTCAAAATATGTTCAAATGTGAATATTTGTAGGTGCTCAACTACAGAGAATCTGTTTGGACCAAAGTATAAGATGAAAGTACACATAGGCCAGCACATGCGCATTAAACAAGAGAAGAAGACCTATAGTCATCCCGGCGGTTAGCTCGTTCTCTTGCACTGGACAGAAGCTGGTTATAGAGAGGCGAAGTCCCTCCCTTTCCGGTGGACCTCCATCGGACCTTATTTCGGAAAAATTATGTATTGAAGTCAATGGCGAGAGAAAAGTTATCTTTCGATCCCGTTTGAATTGTCCCACGAATACTGTATGATGTTTGTCAATCAGTTTTACGGCAAAAAATATTTTTTGTAAAATTATCTTTTAAATTGACAAACATCATATGTGTAATTCGTGGCACAATTCAAACGGGATCGAAAGATAATCTTTCTCTCGCCATTGACTTAAATACATAATTTTTCCGAAATAAGGTCCAATTGAGGTCCACCAGAAAGGGAGGGACTTCGCCTCTCTATGGCGAGAGAAAAGTTATCTTTCGATCCCGTTTGAATTGTGCCACGAATTACACATATGTTTGTCAATTTAAAAGATAATTTTTCAAGTTAAACTTTTTTTTTTTGCCGTAAAACTGTGAAGTAAGACTTTTTTTGTGTGAAACCGCTCAATGAACTACATCTCTGGTCTCGCACAACAACACACGTCACCAAGATGGCCGTCACTGCTGTCTTGCCAAACAAGGGATTGACTACCCTCACTATCACCACAATGAAACACGTCCAGAAGAATGTCATGCAAAGCTGCCTGCCTGCCTGCCTTCCTTCGATTCTCCCTGAACTGCCTGATCTTTTTAATGTTCAATGTTAACCATTTGTGCAGATAGCACAAAAGTAGAAAAGATCGCCGATGCTAATGTAGTGTTAGCATTAGCATGTCTCCCCCGGGGGCATCGGGGCTTAAACGGTGTATTATAGAATGATCACAACGGTGTGACAGTACTCTTCAAAGGGTTCACGAAATATGACTACTACTCTTACTGTTTAACATTTTGGGTTACTTAATGTTACTTCATGTTAAGGCTAATAAAAATGACAAGGCTAAGGCTGTAATGCTAACTAACGTGCTAACTACTAGCTAGGTAGCTAACTTGATCCAGCCATTCCTGGTCCTCTCATCAGACGGGAAACGAAAGAACGAGCAAGACCCATTGCTGGTATGATTACAACCTGGGACAAAGCACACAGCATCTTGTTAAAGTTATCTTATCTTAGCTATCTCTTATATTTAGTGGAGGAAAACAATTATGACATCACTTACGCGTCTTGGATTTGTAGTCTTTCTAGTTGCGTATTTTTCATAGTCTTATATTTCAACAGTTTTACGACAAAACTGTGACTTTTTTGACATGGAAATGATTTTTTAAGATTGACAAACATCATATGTGTAATTCATGGCACAATTCAAACGGGATCGAAAGATACGTTTTCTCTCGCCATTGACTTCAATACATAATTTTTCCGAAATAAGGTCCCATGAGGTCCACCGGAAAGGGAGGGACTTTGCCTCTCAAAGCTGCCTGCCTGCCTTCATTTGATTCTCTCTGAACTGCCTGGTCGTTTTAATGTTTAATGTCAACCATGTGTGCAGATAGCATGAAGTAGAGAAGATCGCTAGCGTTAGCGTTAGCATTTCTCCCCCGGGCTTAAATTGTGTATTATAGAATGATCACACCGGTGACAGTACTCTTCAAAGGGTTCACGAAATATGACTACTACTCTTACTGTTTAACATTTTGGGTTACTTAATGTTACTTCATGTTAAGGCTAATAAAAATGACAAGGCTGTA